ACACACACACATGGACATGGGAAGAGAAAAACCTTCTTTGTTTGTTCAATTCGTTATTTGGTCTTGAGCCTGAGAAAAAAAGCCCTTTGCATTCCTCGCCACATCTTCCTCAAGTACTGCCTCCAACAATATATCCGAACCCCTCAGCTCACCTGAAACAAAAAATAAAAAATAATAAAAAAAATGGCTAACTTAGTTCTTCAAGAACCATGAAAAGGGCAAGTGAATACATTTTTTCAACTCAGGTCCATTGGAGTCTGAAAAATGTGGAATTAGGAAAGGATAATAGAATTTTAGGCTTGTTTTCTCACCTTTTTTACTGGGCAACAATTTCGCACTTTCAGCTGATATAGGAAGAACAACAAACTGACCGGATTCATCCTTTAACTCATCAAGAACTTCATCCATGGACTTTCCAGCTAATGGGGATTCAGCAGCCAATCTTTCGTACGCAGTGGCTTGGCTATGTATATCTGACAGTACCGGGCTCGGTAAACTGTGATCCTTAGGAAAACGTGAAAATTGCTAAAGATACAGTAAAATCTTTACTTTGAAACTAGTATTTCGGTATTTTATAATTCCTTTTTTTTCACCTACCTCAACCATGCGACTGGTCTCTCTGATCTCAATTTTCGCTGCAAGATCTTCTTCAGGAGGTTTTGAAGATTCATTATCTACTATAATAATACAGCCATGAAACAAATCTGTAATCAAGGATGATTTCTCTTTTGTTTTTAAATACAAACAAGAGATTTTAACAAAGATAGATACCATTCGTTACGGGAGGTTGTCCAGCAATGTTATCGACTAGCCTTGTTGTCAAAGGACCAGGATTCATGAACGAAATGGACCGAATTTCATGACGTATGGCTTCTAATTGGGCCATTGTGTCTTGCAGTTCTTTATGAACCTGTCACATTATCACTAATGCTGATTTATTCAAAGAGCATTCATGTCAAAAGAGTAAATACATATCAACACGAGTGTTATTCTGTCGTTTTTCACAAGGATATACAGGAAAGTTAAAATCAAAAGAATATAAATAAACATCATCTTGAACACCTAAATCAAGAAGCAAAAGATAATTAATCGCAGCACAAAACATCAATTTCATCACAAACACTCAAACAGCCATGTCGCCAATCAGATTAGGGGATAATAGGAAAATCATACACACAAAAAACCTAAATAAAACAAAAAACCTGGCGAGCTTGAGATTGCTGCATAACGCTTTCGAATTGGCCACGCGTCACCTGAACATATCCAATTGCTCGACCAGCTAATCTCCCAGCTGTTCTAGCTATAACAGGAAGATCCTTTGGACCTAATTTTACAGTAATATGTCCAATTATCAGATTTTCGCACACAACCACAGATCAAATAAATTTTTGAGCATAAATGCAAATCCGCTCATCATTAGCAGACAAAACCTAGAATACGAACACGAAATCCACAAACAAAATGGCGCAAACAAGCAACGAGATCACATTTGTAGAAAAATACTGAAAAAGCGGTACCGATGAGAGCAGCCGCAGCTCCTAAGAGGAGGAAGAGTTCTCCATATGAAATCCCGAGCATCCTTCGCCGGAAAAGTTAATCTTCGATTGGGTGCACTGCACTTCTTTGGTAGATTGAATGTAGGAAAAAATGATTTTTGTTCGAATAGGCAAAAGTTATTGATTTAAATCCTTCCTCTTATATAACGCAGAGTTCCCCTAGTTGTGTAAATTTTGTTCTTTTGTATTGCAACGATTTTATAGGGTTTTTAATTTTATATGTACTTTTTTCTTTTTAATCTGAAAATGCTTGTTAGCACTTTAATATTATAAAATATTTGTA